AAAAAAAAAAAAAAAAAAAAAAAAAAAAAAAAAAAAAAAGAAGGTTTCTGAAGGCATGGGACAGAAAGTCACTGGTGCAGGGGAGGCAGGGAGAGCACAGAGCAGGTCAGGTGTCCTAAAGGAGGCAGTGTTTGTGTTGTTGCTTGAAAGTGGGGATGGAAAAGATGTGAAGCAGTTTACATATATTAAAAAAAAAAAAAAAAAAGAAAGAAAGAAAGTGGGGATGGTCTGCACTGCCTGGGCAAAGGGAAGGTTTGTGCTCAGGGCATGAAGAGTGTCGTACAAAGGCTGAAGCCCAGGGCAGTAGAGAAAATAAACCATTCAAAAGGAGCCTATAAAGAAAAATGAGAGAGAAAAAGAAGTGAAGCTGGACAGGGAAAGACATGCTGCCCGGCAGAGGTTAAAGGGGTTCCCACCTCAAGCTGGCAGTTCTCAAACCTTGTCCACAGTATAACCCTATGTTTTGATGGCAGCCTACTCAAGAGCAAGATGGGGACTTGTAAGGGACGCCCAGGGCTTTTCCCACAGTTGTCCTCCCCGACTTCTTCAGAACTGGATTCCATAGGACACAAGAGAACACACTTAAGTCATGGGAAGCCAGCCAAGTGTTTAGGGCAGGGATTGGGAGCAGCTATTGGCTCAGGGTCCAGGTAGGGGTGAGGGAGCAAAAAAGAGTATATTCCTTGCATTTAGGGGGTTGGGGGCATATTTTAATAAGGCAGCTGGATGAGTCCCATGGAGAAACCCATTGACAACTGGGAAAAGCATCCAACTGTGAGACATGGCCTGTTTCCCCAACTATCTGAAGAGGAGATAGAATTATGTTCCCGGAGTACATCAAACGGAAGCCTACACTCCTGTCTACGCTCTGGGCTGTGGCTGAAGGAGGCTACATGGGCAGTAGGCACATATCTCAAGACCTTAGCGGCCTGCACAGCCTGGACTCCACCATCAGTTCCATGTCCTCCTCCCATTCTACCTGCAAGTGCCCCTTGACATGTGCTGGGGGGTCAGTTCTAAGTCACTGGCTTTGGCCTCAGGAGCAAGTGAGGGGATAGGGTAGGTGAGCCTAGCTTTCCCTGAGCTGGAGCCACTGTCTGCCCTGGCTTAGGCCTCAAGGCATTGGGGCCCTAGTGAGGAAGGGCTGAGGGGAGATGTGGGGTGCCAGACTATCAGCCTGCTGGCTCCATCTCTAGATAACAGTGAGGATTCAAGAGCGCAAGACTGAAACCCCCGCCTTCCCTCCTTTCCAGACTGCTTTGTGTCCCTGCCTGCCTTATGTTGGCCCCAAGCATCAGACGGACGCCTGAGGGCACTGGGCCCTCCTTCTCTGTGTCTGCCCTCCGAGGAAGGCAAGGAAAAGTGCCACAATGTGACAAGCCAGGCACATTCCATGGGCTCCTCAAATGCATCCTATAAAATAATGCATTTAGTCCCATTTCTCAGCCTTAGAAGCCAACGCTGAGTGAGGTGAAGTCATCTGCCCAAGGTCACATCTTGGTGAGAGGCAGATTCTGGGATGTGAATCTGGTGTGGCTCCAACATCAGGGCTCAACGTCTAGGACCCAATCAAGCCAGTGTCTGTAGGCTTCAGGCCCCGCCTGCCAGTCCACTTGGCTTGGACCTTTTCCCCAGCAGAGTCAAGCCACACGTTTTTCTGGGCAGAAAGTTGTCCCCAAGGATGGCTTCTGCTCACGGCCCCAGCTTCCCCGACACTGTCACTTCCCAACACAGTACTCTCTTCCAGTGCAACATCCACAAGCTTGCCAAGGCCCTTCCTCAGGAATGGGCCTGAGGCCAGGAGGGTGAGACCATCAGGAATGCCAGGACTGGCTGAGGTGTGGGGGGCGACAAACTGCTCCAGGATCAGGGCAGCCGCCCTGAGATGCTGCTGAAGACAGCAAGAGCCAAAGGGCACACGGAGGAAGAGAGAAGGGGCAATACTGGTGAGGACCATAGCAGGCAAAGGTCTGTAAACATGGGAAGCACAGGAAGTGGGGAGCCTCACCCTGGTTGCACACCCACTTTGCCTTCCCCACCCGGGTTCCTTCTGGATCAGCCTTCTCAAAGAAAGCCACGGGCAGTTCAGGGTCCATGCAGCTGGGGCTGGGCACAGGGCAGGACCCTGGGGCGCTGGGAACTGCAGCATGACCCTCTGCCAAATGAGTCCTCCAGCCAAAGTGCAGGGCAACACTCAGGCTGGGTATGACTCTAGCAATACAGGCTCCCCAAAGGCAGGGATCTAACCTACTGTCTCCACTTGGCCACTATCATGGGACCTCGGGCAGGCCACACCTTCTGTTGGTCATGCTGGTGTCTGAATGTCCATTCTCTCTGGAGAATTCAGACACCAGCATGCACATCCCACTTGGCTAAGAGTAAAGACGCTGTCACTTGGCATTGGCCTGGGACTCAGAAGAGCCAGCTTGTCACAGGGAAAGGAGCTGCCCAAGGTCCTACTGCAGGACACTCTCCTGGAACTCAGCTCTCCAGCTCCCGCAGAGAATGCTGCCCATCAGACCATACTGCGAGGCCCTTGGAAGTGCCAGGGCAGCAGGGGGCAGTCTGGTGGAATGAGCTGGCCTGGTTTGCCATGCTCCTTAGGACTCACCCTGATGTAGGCTCACACCATCAGCACTCACCAACCTAGAGATTTCCTGTCGCTGTTGACAGGAAGGCTGGATCTTCAGGGCTCCTGGTGACCATGAGTCTGCATAGACCAGGGCTGTGGTGGAGGCCAGAACCCTGTGCCCCATCTCTCGGCTTCTCATTGAAGTCATCCCTGAGCTGACGGGCAGATGAGCTTCCTGTGCTCCGAGCCAGGCTTAGCCAGGGAAGTATGTGTGCATGCACCCAGGGCAGGGGAGGACTGATCAACCCCTGGGAATGAGGTGCTCTACGCCAGGCCCCATGGTATCCAAGGCCAGGAGTGAGCACTCATGTGCCTTCCTCCATGCTGCACTCCCACACCTCTTCCAAGCCAGCCCAGCTGGGGCAGAAGGAAACTCTCACCCCAGCACTACCTGAGAGTAAGGGGTCAGGGGACCTGCAAGTCATGGAACAAAACATTAGGTCACCATTTGTTAGTCTTTCAGTACTTTACTGGCTATATCCCCCGACACCCCCACAGTAATTTCACCAACACAGAGCAACTGCCCTCGGCCACCCTGATGTGATGGAGCCAGACAGAGAACTTGGGTCTACCCAGGTGTGGTAGGAATGCCCTAGAAATGCAGAACATGGGGAAATCACAGAACCATGGGAAATGCCATAAGCACCTGGGTTCTGGAAAGTGCCATCCACCTCCCTCTGGTCAGGCTGGGGGCACTGACAAGGCATCCACAGGGAAGCTATGCTATGGCCCAGACCTCTGGATATGCAGGAACCGGGGCCTGAGGAGACAGTAGCAAGGGGCTGGTTACTGCCTGGGCCCTGGGGAGCACGGAGTGGGAACAGCACTCTCTCCCCACAGCCAGGGCTGAGGATGGCCCCAGTGGAAAGACTAGCGTGCTACAGGGCTAAAGGAGGGTGGGACCTCACCTCCCACAGAAGTCCTTGCGCACAGCCACAAGATTAAGGTACAGCTCAGGCTGGCTCTGAAGCCAGCTGCTGACAAGCTCCGGGTGCCTCGGGTCCACTTCCAAGAAGATACTCCTGCATGGGGGAGAAATGGGTGGGCTCAGCAGGACAGGGCTGGGACCTGACATTCTGGGCGGCTTGGGCTGGCGAGGTGAGGGTCCTGTGCTCACTTCTGCTAGGGCCTGCCCAGTACACACTAGGAGCAGAGGCGGCTGCTTGGGGCAGACCTAGGAGACCCATCCTATTCATACCCACAGTCCTTCAGGAGCCGGGGTGCCAGGGCCAGGATGTGGGTAATGACGTCCATGCCCTCTTCCCCACCGTCCAGGGCTACAGGGTCTTCATAGCTGAAAGGGAAAGCAGTGGGAGGTGACAGCCTGAGGGAAGGGTATTCGAAATGCATGGAGGGTGTTGGCAGAGTTTCCACGAATGGGGCCCCATGGAACTTATACTCTGGGCTGAAGGGCAAGTCTGAGGACCCAGAGAAGGTGGCCCCCAAATTAGTGGCAGTTCCTCTTCCCTTCCTCCCATGGGCAGCACCAGGTGTGCTTACTGAGTCCCATTGGCTGGTGGCCCCTCCTGACAGGCTGACTCATGTCAGGGCATGAGTGCCTTCCCATAGGCTGCTCCTCTTCTTGATCTAGGAGATCTAGAGCTATCCCTGACAACTCCTGTGGGCCCAGAAAGGGAGAACCAACACCCCAACCCCATCCCACATGACTGCTGCCCCATCCAGGACTCCGGAGCTGTCCCTGGTTCTCAGCCCCTGTGTAAGGGGAGGATGGCCTGGTGCAAAGCCAAGTTTAGTCCCAGCTTTCCCACTAAGCCCCCATGTGACCCTAGACAAGACACCTTCCCTCACTGGGCCTGTCTTCTATAAAATGACATGCCCATCTACTGAGTGCCCCCTATGGGCCCTGCACTGTGTCTGATGCTTTCAAGTCACCACTGAGTCCTCCCATAGCCCTGCAGAGCACTACCTCTCTTTTATCAGAGGCAGGAAACAGGCCCAGAGGTTCAGTGGCTATCCAGTAGTCTTAAGTAGGAAGGTAGAAGTGGAATCTAGGTAGGATTGTGGGCTCTGGAGTGCATCCACTGCGCCTTTTTCAGCACCAGCCCCCCCTGTCCCTCCAGATGGTATGGTCCTTGAGGGCAGACCAATCCCATTAGGCCTTCTCAGGCCTTGCCTCCCTGGCCCACCCTGTTTAGCACCTGCCTGTGGATCTCGGGGGCCAGCTGCTCCATGTCCTGGTGGAAGACGTAGGGAGGGTTGCTGACGACCAGGTCCACAGGGCCCCAGGGCAGGTGTGTCCAGCTCCCTTCTGTGGCCAAAGAAGAAAACATAGTAGGGACTAATCCATTGGGAGGTAAAGGATAGTAGCTCCACCTGCCACCATGTCCCTCTCATCAAGCCACACCTTGGGCCTGCCTGTAGATCTGATAAGTCAAACTTGCAAATCACTGCCCAGGGTCCCTGGCTGACAGCCTAGTGGGGAATGTGCGTGCTTTAACATGGCAGCCCTTCATTTTAAGACCTAAAGGGTCCTTGCCAAAAATCCTTGTTATGCAAGACTCCATTCAAGACTTCCAGGGCGTCCTCCCCGATTGCTTAGGCAGGAAAGAGCCTTTCTCTTCTGTAGCGCCACTAGTCTTATAGCCAACATGGACTGAGAGTACATGGAGGGCAGGTCTGGCCTCATCAGCCAATTCCTGATGGTTCTGACTATCGGTTTCACTCTGTGCCAGGTGCTATACCAAGTATATCATACTCCATGGAGGGGGCACATGAGGCTCAAGGATCCCATGGGTAAGGTGATGGAGCCAGAACTGGAGTTGGAGGTCTGCAAACATTATGAAGGCTATGGCTGAGCTGGACACTCTAAAGGCGATGGCTGAGCTGTGCAGTGCCAAGACAGGTGGGGAAGAAGGGCACTCAAGTATTTGATCCTAAAGGCATTATTTTAAGCTTTTGCTTATCTGTTGCCAACAAGCAAGCCCTTAACTCACTAGTTATGATGAATTCATAAGTTGTCTGTGGCTGGTCCCTATGAGTCCAGTCAACCTAGGAGACTGTCCTCAGCAAGGCCTAGTTTGGGCTGCCACACATGTGCACACACACACTGTGCGTGTGGCTGAGTGGCTTTTGGGGAAGCCCTCCTTCCATCTCTGCAGAGTGCCTCATCCACCCAACAGCACTTATATCTAGGCTCCCACCTCAAGGAGCATGTAGGGGAGGGTACCTGAGGTCATGTCAAGGTGGATGATCCAAATCCTGTCCTGCAACCGAAGCCTGGACAGATGGAGAGAAAGGGGTGAGCACGGGGGCAGACCCCTACCCTTGGCTACAGGAGTGAGGTATTGTGGCCAACCCTTCTTGGACTGGCAAGATGCTCACTGCCCACTACCCATTCAGAATCCTGTGGGACCCATGCCAGGCTACTCCCACTGCTTCCTCCTTCTTGGGAGTAGAAATCAGAGATTGGTTAGATTGAAACCTGAAAAGGAGTCAAGATCAGACCCCAAAGTACAACTCTCCCACCTACCTCTGAGCATTCTCATGGGTCAGAGAGATGGCGGCTTCTCCCTTATCCACAGCAATGACTCGGCTCTGTCCCAAGAACAACCAGAGGGTATGTGGAAGGCAATGCTGGGAGATACTGGGCCTGGGGCACCCTCCTCCAACCCTCCACCAGAAGAGAAGGGAAATACCCAACAGCCTTTTCTTCTTGGCCAAAGTCTAGCCAGACAGATGTGGTAGGAGTTAGAGTCTGTGAACCACACCGGGCTGAGGACAGCCCTGTCCTCCCTCATCTAGCTGCTTCCCCTCAAGTGCTCCTAGCAGAGGGATGTGGGGGAAGCGCTAATGGGAGGGACAGTGAGTGTCAGTCACAGTCTACCCAGAGTGGGTGGAGGGGCTCACCTGGGGGAGCTGGCTCAGCAGGCTGAGGGAAATGGCTCCCGATCCACAGCCCACCTCCAGAATGAGGGGGCTGCCTGGGGATCCCACAGCATGGGACCTCTGGGCCACCTCTTCCAGCACCCACTCAACCAGTTCCTGTGAAGCAGAGGGGACTGGATCAGAGTTGGTGCCAACATGGCTCCTGGGAGTCTTGATACAGAGGCCAAAGCAGTTAGCCCTGTGTGAACATAGGAAGGGGAAGTAGCCAAAGCCAGACAACTTCACGGCAGCTGGGCCATGGCCAAGTCACCCTTGGCCCTCCAGGCCTCAGCTTTCCCATCTATACAACTGAGCCCAGTTGAGGATAGCCCACCTTGTGGGGACATGGTAGGAATTAAATGCACGAATCTGCACCTGTTTCACGGTAAGTGTTCAATAAACCCCAGCTAAACCCTTTACAGACATCCTCCCATTCTGTGCTTACAGAAATGCTAAGAACCAGCCAGCAGTGGTGGCTCATGCCTGTAATCCCAACACTTTGTCAGGCTGAGGTGGGCAGATCACTTGAGGTCAGGAGTTTGAAACCAGCCTGGCCAACATGGTGAAACCCTATCTCTGCTAAAAGTGCGAAAATCTGCTGGGTGTGGTGGTAGGTGCCTGTAGTCCCAGCTACTCAGGGGCTGAGGTGGGAGAATTGCTTGAACCTGGGAGGTAGAGGTTGCAGTAGGCTGGGATCACGCCACCGTACTCCAGCCTGGGAACCAGAGCAACACTCCATCTCAAAAATGAATAAATAAATAAAAGCTAAGAACCGTATCTGATAGTTCCTGGCCACTGCCTCTGGCCTGACCCTGCTCCCAGAGCTTTTCCTGTATAATCTGCTAAATCCTCACAACTGTCCCATGAGGAGACTGAGGCCTAGGGTCAAGGCCCCACCTGAGCCTGGCCTGTGGTTCATGGTGGCAAGCAGCCTCCTCACAGAGCTGAGCTTGAGAGGCCCCCAAGGAGTCTCCTAGCCAAAGGGACAGGAAATTCCCTCCTTTGGAGGGAATGGGCCATGGGGGGACATGGTCCTGACTAAATTCTATACCTGATGAGGGCTGTGGCACACAGGAACGGGTCCACAGGCACGGGTGCAGAGGGAGGTGCCTGACTGCACTGTAACTGCCTTGGCAGCAGGAGGACATTTTCAGACACTGTCACTTTGGAAACAAGAGGGTTTCGAGCCTTGTTCACCAAGCCACTGCCTGCAAGGACTATGCCTGGAAACCAACATAGGGTAGGGGTGAAGGGTGGAGGGCTCCTGCTGTCCAATGGCCGAAATGTTTCTAACCAGCAGTGGAGTTGGACACCTGAGTACCCAGGCGTGGAGCAAGGAAAGGGCAGTTAGCCCCATCTCAAAGGCATCCCTTTGGATGTGGACAGAGGGGCCCCCCAGAGGGTCAGGACTCCTGAGATCCCAATTCTCAGGAAAGACTGGCTCAGGGAACTGGGGACGGTGGGTAGCAAGTGGGTGCTTCCCTGATCTGAAAAGAGGCCCACCTTTTCCAGAAAATCTTCCCTAAGCCTGGGCCAGGCTCTCTCTACCACAGCTTTCCCCACCCTGAGCCTAACGTCTAGGATGGGGTTTGCCTCTCCCACCAGACTCCATAACGGGAAGACCTGAGGCCCAACTCACAGCAGTATGTCCCACACTGGCATGGCTTGGCCCACAGACATACCTCTTGGCTACTTTCTAAGTGCTGGGCAAACTCTCTGTGGCACTACCCTCTGTGTCTCATATCCCCAGGTCTCCCCTACACCCCAATGCCATCAGCCAGGCTCAGTGGAGCAAAGGGCTCCAGATCACTCACACTTCTTTCCATATAAGTTCCCCAGTGCTGGGTTCCAAAAAGCATCTCACCCTTCCAGGTCCCCAACCCCAGCAACAATTTTCATCCACCCAGAGGGTGGCAAGTCCAAGGCAGGCAGAACTTGGCCAACAGGTCCATCCCACCCTGTTCCAAGCCTCTTCTACACCAAACAAGTGATTGCCTGTGGGTGAGGGGGCCCACAGGAGAGGGCATGGATTTACTAGCTCTCACCAGCCCTGTGCCAGGCACTAGTGGAGACCACTAGGGCACCTGTGGCAAGCTGGGCCTGCAGGGTTGGGGCAGGTACAGAGTGAGCAGTGTAGGGCTGTTGACTGAGAGCCTGTGGTCTCAGTGGTGAGGCCACATGCTGAGAGGTTGGCAGGGTGACCAGAACTTGCCAGGTGTGTGAGCCTCTCTTGGTTTCCTGGCCATAGACAGACCTACTCTGGCTGGAGAATGACCCCTCAGCCAGCCACACTGGCCAGCCACCTCATAGAGATACTCACGACCTCAAAGACACACACCACAAACGTGGATGGCCACCTTGGGGAGGGTGAGAAACTGAGAGACTGAGACTCTGCCACCAGTAGTGGCCTCTTGCTTGCCATAATGCTCCAGACCACAGGAGGCTCATCTTGGTTGTCGTGCCCCATCTTGGGGCAGGGGTAAAGAACAGCCTAAGAAGTCCAGAAACTCTCTTCTTTGCCCAGTGAGGAGCCTCCCTCAGCCTGATACCAGTGGCTCTTTTGGGGAGACTGAAAACCAAGCTGGTCACAGGCTCAGGGCACCCCCTCCAGATGAATATGGGAAGAATCAAGAACAGGGTGGGGCCGAGGGGCAGGGGCATGCAGGAAGGAGGTGAGGGGCAGGCAGTTGTCAGCTCTGCCTAGAACTGCTGCCCCAACACGGACTCCATACCCCATCAAGAAGTTGGCCCAAGGCCTCAGCAGAACTGGAGTGCCACGAGTACCCTCTATGGTGGGGCAGCCCCAGAGAGGTGGCATTGCCTCCTTCAAGCCAATCACAGACAAAACACTGAGCCTTCCACACCCTGTACAGCCTCATACCAGGCTGCGTGAGAATGGCTCACACCCCCAGCCCTGAGTTTCCTACTGTATGCACTGCCAGGCCTGGGGCTGAACCACTTTCTCACCCCTAGGGAAAATCCAACTCACTGGGTCACATGCTTCCTGCAAGTTTGCACTTCAGACTCCCCTTCATCAGAAACCATCTCCCACACCCATGCTCACCACTCCCTGCCACAGGCCACGTCCTCTTGACTTCTTGGTAAGGCATCCCCCAATGTGGCTTTACATTGGGGTGAACCTGGTGAGTTCTCAGAAATGTCTGCACAGTGAGGTGAGCACCTGGCCTCTCAACTGTGGCATCTCCCCTCACTTCACCCCTTGCAGTAGAGCTGCTATCTTGGCCCAGACTCACCCAAGAATCAGGGGGCCACATGGGAGCCAAAGTCCACACTTGATACTCAGAACCCTGGCACATATGGCTGGAGCCAGGCCAGCTCTGAAGGAACGCAAAGGTGACCACGCCCTGATCCTGGGCAGCTGAAGACAGCAAATGATCTCACCAGAGATCGCGTTTTTGGGGAGCCACAGGATGGCCTCCCAAAGCCTGTTGGTGGCAGGCCACACCTTGCTCTGGGTCTCCATACTGCATCCTAGGTCATGCCAATTGCAGATGGGGCAGCCCCATGTGAGGGATGGCGCTCTGACCTGGGAGTCAGGAAATCCAAGTGCTGCCCCCATGCTCCCCTCCTTGACAGCCCTGTGATTTCAGCAAGGCCTCAGATTCTCTACTGTCCCCATCCTGACACTGGGCAGTGAAGAAAGGACCTGGCCTCCCAACCACATGATATGGAGGGGAGAGGGGTCAGAGAGTTTCTTGGCTAGGGGACAGAAGCTGGGAAAGTGAAGGAAGGGTTTGGGGCCCCTGGCTGCAGCAGGTGGATGGAAACTAACCTTTCCCAGAAATGTTTGTGTGCCTGGGTCTTTCTAGAAATTCCTTCTCAGAACCTAGTGCCCACTGGCTTGCCCACCAGCTCTCACCCAGCTCTACTCCCTGGTCTGCGCCATCTGGCTCCCAGCTCTGCCACCTAAAGGTCAGAGGGAAGTCCAAGAAGGGCCATAGAAAGCATCTTTTCCGGCCGGGAGTGGTGGCTCACGCCTATAATCCCAGCACTTTGGGAGGCCGAGGCGGGTGGATCACGAGGTCAAGAGATCGAGACCATCCTGGTCAACATGGTGAAACCCCATCTCTACTAAAAAATACAAAACATTAGCTGGGCATGGTGGCACGTGCCTGTAATCCCGGCTGCTCAGGAGGTTGAGGCAGGAGAATTGCCTGAACCCAGGAGGCGGAGGTTGCGGTGAGCCGAGATCGCGCCATTGCATTCCAGCCTGGGTAACAAGAGTGAAACTCTGTCTCAAAAAAAAAGAAAGCATCTTTTCCAGGACCAGTGTGCCTTACCAAGGGATAGCACACTTGTGCCACACATCCCAAGTCCTAGGAATTTGAGGGATGACACAGATTACCAGACCAGTCAGCAGACCTAAGAGGGCCACCAGATTCTCTGGTTTGGAGGTCTAACCCTCTCATCATCTGGGTCCAGAGAGGTCCAGAGGGCAGTGATCTGCCTGAAGTCGCATAGCTGATGCCAGGGTCTCCAGCTGTCTGGCTGGAGCTCTCTCCATTTCCTCCATGCCTCCTGAGAAGCTGCTGGAGGGCACTGGTTCTCTGTGGGTTGGGTGAGCCATGGGCCCACAGGACAGCTCCCAGAGAAATGGCAGGAACAGGTTAAGTACTTGAACAGCACTATTTGAGGCACTCTGGGCCACTGCCAGACCTGGAGGCTGAGGTGATAGCTTGGAACATGAGAATAGTCAAGGGGACCAACAGGAATCCTCTGTCTTCTGGGCTCTGCCAATACAGTCAGCAAGGAGATATATGCCTAGAAAGGCACTGTCCGTGAAGATAGCAGTCATGGGGCCCCAGTGCCCCCTGGAGGAAACCTGGGGCAAGACTGGTGCCCTGAACGCCACCCTCATCTTGATCCTGCTTTGCCCTGGTGGTACACCTACCTCTGTTTCTGGCCGAGGAATAAACACAGGGGGCACCATCTTCAGGCTGAGCCCCTGAAAGTCCCACTCTCCAAGGATGTACTGCACGGGCATCCTGCAGAGGGGGCAGCCGGGTGGTCATCAGTGACAGAGCCAGGACCAACAGGACCATGCCGGGGTTGAGAGACACCACTTGCGGCCAAAGTATCAGGCAAGACCATGTCTCCAACGCCTTGGGACCCCTGGGGCAAAGCCTTCCCTTGTTCCCTTCTTCCTATTTACTACCTGGGCCCCACTCTTGTCACTTCTGTACCCCAACACCTCCCTAGTCCTTGGACAACTCCTCCTCCCTGAACTTGGTGGGGATGGAGGAGGCTGGACTGCCCTCCCCAAACACATTCTTCAGGTCTGATTCATGGGTGCTCACCTCTGTAGTCGACGGCTACTCAGCTCCTGGATATACTGTAGTTGCTGAAAGGTCAAGTGCTGGGTCCGAAGTGCTGGCCTCAGGCTCTGAAACTGTCCCCACAGAGAATGTAAGTGGCTGGCTCACTGGGCCCGGGATCCCCAACCCAGGTGTCTTATGTGGATAATGCCTGCCCGGCACTGGTATGGAGGCCCAACCCTCTCATCATCTGGTCCCAGATAGGGGCAGCATCCTGCCCAAGGTTAAACAGCTAATACCAGGCCTCCAGGTGTCTATCCCTAAACACTTAGGCAGAGATTTATTCATTCATCCAATAAACTGTTACAGTGTGTGACAGGCACTAAGATGTTCCTCCAGAAAAATCCTATCAGTTTCAGCTAAGCACTCTTAGTGGGCAGAAAACTTGGATATCTCTTCCCTGAGGTCCTCCCTCCTCCCTCTTCCTGCCCTCTTGACAACACTGAACTTAACTGTTTTGGCTCCAAGGACATGAGCCACGATGTACTCACTGGATTCCCGGGCCTCAGGGACACCTTTCTTCTCAAAGACCCTTGTCCAGTGGTTGACCAGTTCTGTGGCACTGGATAACCCAGCCAGAGGTGGATGGGGTTGCCATGAGCTGAAGGCCCAGCCCCGGATACCTCCCCTCCTCCCTGGGCCAGACAGGAGGGGCCATAGCATTCGGCCCCAAAGCTCCATGTCTCAGAAAAAGGTTCTCCAGAGTGCTTCCAGGTTCCCAATTCTGCCTAATGATGTCGGCTGCTGAGGTGGGTGCTGAGAGTGGTTCCTGGCCCCAGCTGGGTAGAGATGAAAAGGTTACAAGCTCTGGTGCCCCAAAATGGCACTGGTCCTCATATGTAGTTGGTTGCCACCCTGGGAATGAGAGGAACCAGGAAAGCAGATGAGCCTTGTATGACAACCCCCTTCCACCAACACACTGCCTGAGAATAGGTGTGCTCTTGCTCTGTCACCACCTTGACTCCATTTAGAGCCTCACACACTTGTTTGATCATTCTTGTCTTGACCACTTATGTTTTCTTCACATTTTTTTTTTTTTGAGACGGAGTCTCACTCTATCACCCAGGCTGGAGGGCAGTGGTGCGATCGGCTCACTGCAACCTCTGCCACCCAGGTTCAAGCAATTCTCCTGCCTCAGCCCCCCAAGTAGCTGGGATTACAGGCACCTGCCACCATGCCCAGCTAATTTTTGTATTTTTAGTAGAGACAGGGTTTTACCATCTTGGCCAGGCTGATCTGAACTTCTGACCTCATGATCCACCTGCCTCAGAAAGTGCTGGGATTACAGGCATGAACCATTGCGCCTGGCCGTTTTCTTCACATTTTTAGCTGGAGTGAGCTGAGCCCATAGCTCAGTCTCTGCTAATTTAAATGGGCTGGTGGTAGGTTAGGGCACATATTTGGGCATAGGACTGATCTGTGTCTAACTTAGCATGTATGAGCTTGAGCAAGTCATTATTTCTGAATTTCACTTTCTTAATCCATAAGATGGGGAGAAATCACACCAAACCCATGGCAAACAATGCATTAGTCTATGAATATCAAAGGCTTGGGAGGCAGCTCAACATACAGCAGGGACCGGATGTTACATGATCTTAACTGATGTTACAAGGGGCAGATGATTGCCTTGATTGTGAGTTTTGCGTCTGACGTCTTGCATGTACTGTCATCCATCTGTATGCTGACACTTTCCTTCTAATTTAACCCATAATCCAGGACATCAGTGTAAACTGCCAACTAAAAAATTTACAATTTTATATTTAAAGATGTCACAAGCAAGTTTAACTGAAGGTTTAAAAATCAGTGGTCCCTCTCGGTGGCTGACGCCTGTAATCCCAGGATTTTAGGAGGCTGAGGCGGGTGGATCACAAGGTGAGGAGTTCAAGACCAGCCTGGCCAAGATGGTGAAACCCCGTCTCTACTAAAATCACAAAAATTAGCCGAGCATGGTAGCAGGCGCGTGTAATCCCAGCTACTCAGGAGGCTGAGGCAGAGAATTGCTTGAACCCGGGAGGCGAGGTTGCAGTGAGCCGAGATCGCGCCATTGCACTCCAGCCTAGGCGACAGAGCAAGGCTCTGTCTCACCACCACCACCAACAACAAAAAAACCATTGATCCCCTTTACTATCCCTTGGATAAAAGTCCAAACTAGCGTCTATTGAGCTACTGAGCACCAGCTAAGTGCCACATCTTCAGATACAAGTAGGATCTGAGAAGGGAAGCGACTTGCCCTATGTCACTCAGGTAGAAACCGTCCCAGGCAGGATACGAATCTGAGTCCACCGAACTTCAGAAGTGGCTCTGTGCACCAGCGCGCCATCCCAGGAGCCAAAGCCCGAAGTCAGGGGCTAAACTCCCTCCCAGCCACGCACCGCATCGTTAACGACCCAGACGAGGTCTCCTCCCTCCAACCCTGTTTCTCCATCTGCACTATGGAGAACGGAACTGGCCAGGTCTCCAGTCTGTTGCTGTTGAAACACCCGGTTCCGATTCCCAATTCCCGTTCATACCTGCCTGAGAGGCCACCCCACCCGCCCACCTGCGGGAGAAGATGCCCGGGACTCGACGCTCGGATGTGCGTGACCTGCCGCGCGCTCCGCCGCGCGCTCCGCCCCGCTTCCGGAGCCTGCGCATTTAAGAAAAGGCTCGGGCGGACGCCGTAGCCCACCTTCAGGGTTCCCATCGTGGATGGGTTCCTCCCAGAAGACAGACCCTTGCGGATGGGAGAGGAGGCTGTGAATTCCACGCCCTCTACGCCCGCAGGCCCACAGGCAGGAAGTGCGAAGATGTGGGTGCGGTTGACCCCTGGGGGCCCGGACCTGCTGGTCTTCCTTAAAGTCACAGCAGGGATATGGTTCCAGTCCAATGGGATTTGCTCCGAGCTGCCTTTTAGGGACCGGGCCCGGGCGGTGTGCGGGCGGAGCCCAGTAGCCAGCCAAAACGGAGACGTGTCACCAGGGGGCCCAGGAGTTCGAAGGCGGGGACCAGATGTCCGGGGGCGTGGTCGGCGGCGCGGTGGAGCTGTGCGTGGGCGGGTTCCAGTGTTGAAGGCGGGTCCAACTTTTGGGTCCGGTCCCATTGTCGTGACCCTACGGAGGGCAGTGGCCCGAGCCCACCAGGCGGGGCCGGGTGGCGACCAGAACCTGGGGGCCGCTCTTTTCCCTCCCGCTCCGGTTTAGGATTTGGAGCAGGAAGCCAGAGAGCTGGGTTCGAATTCTGACTCTATTGGCAACTCATCAGAAGACTGTCCAGGTGTTGGGACCCCTCTTGACCTCAGTTGCGCCTTCTGTAAAATTCATGGCAGCGTCTCGCAAAGTGTGTCTTATCAACATCCCCCCCCCCCGAATTTACTTTTAATAAAAAACTTTTAAAAAAAACTTTTTTTTTTTTTTTTTGAGACGAAGTTTCACTCTTGTTGCCCAGGCTGAAATGCAATGGCACAATCTGTGCTCACTGCAGCCTCCGCCTCCGGGTTCAAGCGATTCTCCTGCCTCAGCCTCCCAAGTAGCTGGGATTACAGACGTAAGCCACACCTCGCCCGATTAATTTTGTATTTTTAGTAGAGATAGTGTTTCACCGTGTTGGTCAGGCTGATCTAGAACCCCTGACTGCGGTGATCCACCGCCTCAGTCTCTCAAAGTGCTGGGATTACAGACGTGAGCCACGACACCCCGCCTTAAACTGCTATTAAACATGCTGTTTCCCTGGCTCCTTCCCAGTCCTTCCACAGGGGCATTTGCATTTGTACCAGGCTACCACGTGATCCTCGTAAACTCCTTTGAAAACCGGCGGATTAGGAGTATCTGAGGGCTCGTTCCCTGAGCTGAGCATGCCGTGGATGGATGCCATTGTGAGGGTATATGTAAGCTTGCCTGGGTCGGGGTGCCCAATAATAAATTCTCCACACTCTCAAATTGTCTAGACGAAGATTCCCCATTTCTAGCCCGGGGTTGGAGTCATGTACCAAGAACCCTCACACCAGAGGACCCAACTGAGCAGAAATCCAGGGCTCAGGAAAGGAAAGAAGCTTCTTCAAGGTCACAAAGTCAGCCAGAGTTCAGTGTAGGCCCAAGGACTCTCAGTCCAGTGCTCTCCCCAAGTCTCCTCTGTACATCTGCATTTTGGGGGCGTGAGTCTGTTCCAGCACGGGTAGCTGGCAGGGATCCCGAGTTCTAGCCCAGGAAGGGTCTGGCCACCCACGTTTCCCCGCCCAACTTCAGCGCCTGCCACGGTAAAGGTGCAGTTTCTGTAAGAACTGCGACCGGTCTCCAGGCTCCATCTGAGGGTGGAGTCAGACCCGAGCGACAAGCGAACGGTCCAATTCTGGGCGGGCTCTAGGCCTGACAGCCAATCAGGGGCAGGGGGCGCGGAGCGTGAGGGTAGGCAAAGCACTGTAGCTTCGGGGATCCCCCGAGGCTGCTCGGCCCGGCCCCACCCCTGCCGTGGTCCTGGACCTGCCCACCCTTGCCCAGGCCGGCAGAGCCAGCGCTCGCGGCTGCAGCCGGTGCGTAGTAGCGGGCCTGGCCTGCGGCTCGGAGCGTGCAGGGAGGGCTGACCTCGGATTGGACCCACAGCCCCGGCCTCCCGCCAGTCACCACCAACCCTAGCCTCTCCAACTGAGCTCGGCGCCCGGAGAGGATTAAGTAAGTGCTGAGGCCGCTGCTCTTGTGTAAGAAGGGAGGCATCACAGGGTCGCGGAGGCAGACATGGGGATTGGGGCAGGGAGGACTGAGAGACCTGGGAGAGAACGGCTTGTGGGTTCTCGAAGGTCGCAGTGCCGACCCCTTTCACCCCAGTTTCCTTCCCTGCTTCCCCTTTGGACCCTGAGGCTGGCCTGGAAAGTGGTCAGTAGGGCTCCTTCTCTCCTTTGGAGGAGAAGTAAACAGAGCCTCAGAGCACGAGTTAAGGGTTTGGCCCAAGGTCACGCCTGGGATCAGTTGCAGAGCCAAGAAAAGAACCCAGGACTTCCCTGTGTGTCCAGCCTAGCTGGAGGGAGAAGGCAAAGAGGGATGAGCCTTTCTACACGGTAACCCTCTACCAGCCTTGCCCTTTCCTAAGGGGCCATCACAGATGTGTGCACACCTCATACATGCCCATGCATCTTTACAGAGAGGCACCACCACTAATGGGCCAGCCCAAGGGGACATGTGTGCAACCATAAGCTAGGTTTCCCTCCTCTCGCTAGACCTTCCCATCTGCAGCTTGGCTGGAACCTCTTCCCACCCTTCCTTAACCGGGGCCTTCTGCACTGGGCAAATCTCTCACCCTCTGCTTCCAGGGGAGGAGAGTAAAGGAAGAAAAGGCACCCAAACTGGGAGCTCCATTCCTGCCTCTGAAGCTATGTTCCCCTCTTGCCTTTCTCCTTGACCCTAGCAGCCCCTCTATTGATAGTGGTGAGGGAGGGCAGTCCAATGTCCCCAAGAGCCTGCAGAGAAGCCCTGCCAGAGAACCAGAGCCTCTCTCTCCTTCTTGTCTTCTGGTCTTTCCACATCGGCCTGCACTCACACTCCAAGCATAGGCGGACCACACAGTGGCCTGGGTCCAGGGGCTCCTGCGGCTCCCCTTTGTGACTAGGTTGGCCATGGGGAGAAAACCTAACATGTATTGGATGTTTACTATGGTTGGGGCTTGTGCTGAGCTAAGTCCTTCTTAGAGGCCTGCTTGTTCTGCCGTTTCTGTAACCTCACGACCCTGTGGGGATGTTCTCAATATTCCCTCCTTAGACTCAGGAAAACGGAGACACAGAGAGGTGGAGTGACTTGCCTGTGGTCATCTAGTTAAGTGGCTGAGTTGGGATCAAAGACAGGCCTGTCTGACTCTTGGGCAAGTGTTTCCCTCCAGGAAAAGAAAAAGCTGTGGTATTTTTTTCCCCAAGCAGGATGAGGGATGTGGGAGGGAGGGAATGAGGAGGTGGATATGGGGATGCCGGTTGGGGGGAGTTTTTGATCAGGGGATGGAGACTTTTTCTTTCAAAATCCCCGCTGCCTTTCATATCTTCCAGGTATGATCACTGTGATCTGCTTACTTACAGACAGAGGATGCAGGGCTTAAATTTTGTTCCTAAAAACAAAGGCACCGTAGATATGTAAAGTACATGTCCTAATGTCTCCTGAATTTGCCCTCATCCTTGCCCTCAAACCTTTATCTCCCCAAGGTTTTTCCTATCTCCCCAAAAGTCTTTCAGAACCTAGAGAGACTTCATCTCACTACTGAGCCCCTGTCCTTAGCCTCATGTTTTTTATTCTTTCCTTTCTAGCACCCAGGAAGGCAGGGGGCTCCCTTTATCCAAGGAGGTGGCTGTGCAGGTGGCCACCACAGGTGGCAGGAACCACAGGCTGGGACACTCCGGAGTCAGGAGTGAGTGGGCAGGTTGACTGGCCTCAGGCAGCCTCTCAGCCAGGGCCCTCTCCACGTCAGCATGAACTCCAGGACTGCATCTGCTAGGGGCTGGTTCAGCAGCCGCCCACCCACCTCTGAGTCTGACTTGGAACCTGCCACAGATGGGCCAGCCTCCGAGACCACTACCCTCAGCCCAAGCTCCACCACCGTTAATGACACCAGAATCCCTGATGCGGCTGGTGGTGCGGCCGGCGTGGGTACCATGCTTCTGTCCTTTGGGATCATCACGGTGATAGGCCTGGCTGTGGCCATGGTGAGAGCTGGGGTAGGCTGGGGGAGGATAATCAGTGTTTAGATTTATAGAGAACCTAATCAGAAGACAATCTGTTTTTTTGTTTTTTTGGGGTTTTTTTTGAGATGGAGTCTCACCCTGTTCCCCAGGCTGGAGTGCAATGGTGCGATCTCAGCCCACTGCAACCTCCACCTCCCAGGTTCAAGTGATTCTCCTGTCTCCGCCTCCTGAGTAGCTGGAATTATAGGTGCATACCACCACACCTGGCTAATTTTTGTATTTTTAGTAGAGACGGGGTTTCACCATGTTGATCAGGCTGGTTTCGAACTCTTGACCTTAGGTCATCCACCCGCCTTGGCCTCCCGAAGTGCTGTGGTAACAGGCGTGAGCCTCTGCACCTGGCCAACAATCTGTTAATGAGAGTGCTGTCCTCCCTTCCCACAGAGATTTGTCCATTGGGGCCCAGAGACCAGAGAAGCAGTGCTTCTAATTGGAAGAAACAGAAAAGGTTCTCAGGAATACATGGTGTCTTGAGCCGGGTTGTGAAAGCTACCTAGGAGTCAGGGAGTTTCAAGTGGAGGGTGCTGATGGGCAAAAGCTTGGAGGCAGACAGAAGGTTCTGTAAGCAGCAAGCAGGACAGTTAGGGCAGTGGGTGTGGGGTTGCAATAGAAGAGGCTTAAAGGTGGTTGGCGTGGACTGTAGGCTGCAGAGTCTGGGTGAGATGACCTGCTCACGGGAGGCTGTTGGCAGTGAACATTCATTTATTCACTTGGCAGTTATTTACTGAGTGCCTGCCCTGGGACAGGCCTTTTGGACCCAATAGAGGCTGGGAAGACAAGGTCCTGCCCTGTGGTTCTTACAGGGAGTGGGAAAGAGATAAAAACCAAGGATTGCAAAGGAAGCCTGCAGGGACTGATGTGGGGACTAAAGCAGGAAAGCAGGGTGCTTTCCAGACTAGGTGGTTAGGGACAGCTGAGAAGCAAAATTAGAGCTGAGACCTCAAAGTGGAAGCCTGGCCTCCATGTCATGAGAAGGGGTGGAGGTGGGCAGCCATCAGGCAGGAAGTGGGCTGGGGAAAGGGCTGCAGGAATCCTCTAGTAGTGAGTGGGGTGCCTCCTGATCTGGTGTCAGTCCCTAAGGATATGGGCTGTCCCCTAAGATGATACCTGGACACTCAGAATGTCACTAAGGGACCACTGGAGATTGTGCAGGCTGAGACTAGGGAGAATGAGGTGCCACTGAGGTTCCCCAGTGTTCCTGGCAATGGTAGGATCCACCCACTGCTCCTCACAGGCTCTGATGGCTGGCCTTGGGCTCAGGAACATGTCGCTCTGACAAATCGGGCTGTGGATGGTCCGTCATGGCCTGGTTGGAGCTTCCGTTAAACCAGAGTTGCCATATGGGCCCCGCAGGCTCTGGATTGCTGCCAGGGAGCAACTGCCGGCCAGCAGGCAGGCCCAGGGTGCAGCACGTGCAGAATGAGGCCAGGGCCCGAGAGGTCTCCTGGGTGGGGGTGAGGTAGGATGCCAACATTTTCCCTTGGCACCCATGCAGTGGGTAAGCAGATGGAGGCACCCTTAGGGACAGAATGGGGCCTAGAAACTGCCCTCGTTACTCTCAGTGAAAGATTTTGTCCTTGGAACTTGAGAACGCTCCCTTACTCTTTGTTCTAGAGGAACATTCAGAAGGCTTGGGTGGATGGCCCTCTTGCCAAAATCAGAGAGGTGGGAAGCTTGTAGGACAAAGGCAGTGGAGGGCAGAAGATAGCTCCTGGGGACCGGAGACAAGCCCAGAGGTGCTCTCTAAGTGCTGCTTCCTCTCCCCGATGCCAGTTTCGAGCAGGGACATGGGTACAAGGAGGAGCAAATCTGCACAAGGCTTTCTGCCTTATCCGGGAGGGAAAAGTGCTTAGTACTCGCAGACCAGGATCAGTGGTGGGGGAGGTTTCTGGAGGAGGTGGGGCTGCAGCTGCTGGACAGTGAGGGGTCGGGAAGATTTGGGAAGGAAGGTGTGGGGGTGAGTGTTAGCTGAGGAAGAGCGGCAAAGGCATGGAAACTGGGTAAAGGTTCTGGCCTTTTCTGTAGATCCTTCTGAATTACAGGGTCTCAGGGGAGGAAGGAGGGCTTGGGGCAAGGGCTGAGAGGTAGGGACCACAGGGGCTGGGGCTGGGGCTGGGCCCACTTGCTCAGGGTGGTAGGGGCTGGGCCAGGAGACCCCAGAGTTCCTGTCACAGCCTACCCACAGGAGAGCAAGGGGGCACCCCACATGTGACCCTGGAGGGGAGGGGAGAGTGAGGATCCATACCCTAGTTTCTTTTCAGGCTTTTGGGGTCCTGCAGGTCCAGCTCTGGGCCAGGCTGGAAACCAAACTAGATTCAAGCTGTGAATGGGGCACAAAGAATGTAGAAGGATTTGAGGCAAACCACAGGGCGGTGCTTTCCCCAGGCAGAGGTAGTCATGTTCCTGGTAGTCAGAAACTGCCAGTTTAGGGAAGAGCAGGATGATGGCAGAAGTCCCTGGATTCCCTGCCCAAGGTGGTCCCCCAGGTCTTACCTGCTTCCTCCATCTCCTTGGTGCATTGTATAGGGTTTCTTGCTGTGGCCCAGAGGTCCTAGATGTTTTCTCAGGCTGCCTAGGCCCTCACCTTCAAGGTTGTACAATGGGGGACTGGACCTAGGGGCTTTCTTAGTTTCCTCTGGCATCAGAGTTTTGGGGAGTTGACCTGGGCTGATGCCTAGGGGCTCTGGTCCCCTCCCCCACCTTAGTCCACTGGGGGCCATAAGCCTGCCATAGGAACTCCAGAGACCACCAGCTCAGGGCCTTGCCTAGAGTTGCTGTCCTACATGCTACAGAGTCTGGCCACTGCCTATCCCTGGTTCTTTTTGTTGTTGTTATAGAGACGGGGTCTCACTATGTTGCCCAGGCTGGACTCGAACTCCTGGGCTCAAGAGATCCTCCCATCTCAATATTTTGAGTTACTGGGACTACAGGCATGCGCCACCTTGCCTGGTCCCTTTTCTTTTTGCCTGCATGTAGCTTTGGGCCTGGGAAGAGTTGCTGGGAGGGGTTGTGCTGAAGCCTTCCCTTTCCCCTTCAGCCCTGGGGAGCCACAGGCAGGTGCTGAGTGGCTGGAGCTGCAGTTAGTACTGGCAGCACAGCCAATAGGTGGGGCCCACCAGTCCCCAGGGTGGGCCTAAATGTGTGGTCTCCCAGGCTGGGCTCCTTAAGGGAGCCACTGAGTCCCCAAACTCAGTCTGGACACTGTTTGCAGCTAAAAACGCCAAAGGAGGGCATGAAGGGGGGGATGTATATGTCATTAGGATGGGGGCCCACAGGTCTCTTGTTCATCAGCCTCAGCATGTCCCCGTCCAGAAGGGCTGCTGGGTTCCTCAGGGCCTCCTCTCCTTGCCATTTGATGCTGCTCCTTCTCTTGCAGGTTTTGTACATCAGGAAGAAGAAGAGGTAATTCCCCACCAAACCCAAAACCCAAGCCCATGGGCAGTGCTGGGCTGGGCTCCGAGGGAAGCAGGTAGAAAGCTGATCAGGGAGTCAGGGCCTCTTCTGCCCACTCAAGGTTGAGGGTGACCACTTTCCTTCAGGGAGGGTTGAGGGCCCCCTCCCACAAGGATCTCACACACAAGGCAGGCAGGTGTGAGGATTCTAGATAACTAGGTATAACTCTGGGATTGGGGAGGGCAGGAAGGGGGAGGGCTGGGATTACTCCCACCCACTGCCCAGCCACCCTTGCCCTGCTGCTCTGAGCTGACTGCTACTGGCTCCCCAACCCCACCTGAGCTCCAGACACTGTAGGTTACAGCAAGGCCCTAGCCTACGTGATCCCTGTAGGGCCCATGGACAATTGGCCTGTTTAACTGCTGCCTCCCTGGCTACCCATCTAAGGTGTTGAGCTGGTACTATAGGTGCAAAAATGTCTGTCATTTAATACCATTTCAAGGGAAATGTTAAGGCCCTAAGCATGGTTGTGTGCTGTGGCTCAGCTAGTCAGCAGGTAGGGCCTGGAGGGCTGCTGGGAGGGGAAGGGCCTTCCCTGCCGCCAGCAGCCTTTGCCCCCATCCCCAGGCTGGAGAAGCTACGCCACCAGCTCATGCCCATGTACAACTTCGACCCCACGGAGGAACAAGATGAGTTGGAGCAGGAGCTGCTGGAGCATGGGCGGGATGCTGCCTCCATGCAGGCTGCCACCTCCGTGCAGGCCATGCAGGGCAAGGTGGGCACTGACCAGGCTCCCCACCCCACCTGCAGCATCCTCCGTCCTCCACCCTTACCTTCCCTCCTTTCTCATCCAACTTTTCAGCACCTGCCCTGTGGTCACCTGGCAGGTATTGGGTACATAAGTTTTGCCAGATTTGTTCAGAAAGCGGTCAGATTGCTCGGGGACCACCCACGAACTCCCAGTGCAAGGCCAGGCTGGGCAGTCCTGGGAACAAGCCTGGCTCTGCCCCATAGCCTAGTGATCTTGGGAGGCCCACTGGCATCTCTGAGCCTCAGTGTTCTCACCCACAAATGAAAATCCTAGTTCATGCTCCGTGTGCCCCCATGTACTGGTTAGGAAAGTAGAAAAGGATTAATGGGGGAGATTGTTGGTGACTGGGACCCTGGGTTCCTCTGCTTCCTGAGGGTCTGTGGTGCTGAGTGGGTTGGGTTGTGGATGGGGTCAGACTCTCAGACAGCAGTTCCTCTGAATAGGCTGGTGGATTCCCAGTGGCTGACAGACCCAGGATGGAAAGATCCCAGCCTAACTTGCCTCCTACATCCAAAGAGATGGGACCTGTGTGGTCATCCTGCTGTAGCCACTGAGCTGCCTGACCACTTGCCACCATTCCCCCAAATTCCCAAGTGCCACAGAGTGTCATGAGCAGGCCTGGGCTGCCCCTGACTCATCCAGCCTCTTTGCATCTTCCTGGGGTCAGAAAGAATCCAGGCTGGGAGTCTGAAGACCCTTTGGTTTTGCCACCAGTTCTGCGTGACCTGGGTCAGGATATATCGCCCTCTTGGGATATTCAGGAACTCGCACAGAGAACCTTGGTCCACTCAGCCCCGGGACTGCTGGCCACTTGACACTTGTTTCCTCTGGTCCTCCCTTGTGCTGCCCCTGTGCTAGGGCGTGGGGGTGCAGAGTCCAGCCCTCTGACTCCCCTGCTGGGAAAAGACGATGCATGCATAATTAAATCAACACAGTAAGTGTCGCCAAGGTGACAGGGCAAGATGGGGATGGCTTTCGTGGGGAGGAGTCATCTGAGCCAAGTTGTATTTCTAGGCTGAGCTTGGAGGGAGTGCATTCCACGCAGAAGCCATTGCTGGTGCCAAGCATAAGCAGGCACCAGGAAGTGAGGGTGGAGGTGACCGGGCCAGCGAGTGCATGGCCTTGGTCATGGTCTCTGATGCCCCTGTCTGTCTTCCTGCAGACTACTCTGCCCTCCCAGGGCTCACTGCAGAGACCCAGCCGGCTGGTGTTTACCGACGTGGCCAATGCCATCCATGCATGAGTGGCCTGGGACAAGCTTGGACTTCTGATAGAGACCTGCCATGGTGCCCACAGAGCTCCCCATTCCCTGATTATCAAGACCTACTCTGAGGACCTGCCCTGCGAAGACATGAGAGGGCCAAGCCAGGTCCCAGCAGTTCTGCAGACCCACCTGCTGACTCTAGGCTCTAAGAGAGGGCCCTGACCAGGCTGGACATCTGACCACTGACTTCTGACCTGAGGGCCATGGCATGGAGGCCATCCCTCATGCTGAGAAGGTCAAGAGCTACTGCCAGCTTCCTTATCCCTTGTCCAGATCCCTCACATCAGGGTCTGCCCCTCTGATGTGGAGGAGGTGGGGAAAGATACAGAGCGGGAGGGACTGGGGGAGGAGAGGGGAAGTTTCCCTCTATCAGGGAGACACCTGTTTTTTGGAATCTGGAGCCTCTTCTGAGGTGGGGACAGGAAACCACCCAAGTTATAGAGAGTAGGTCAGCACCTGTTATGGGCCCTGAGAAGCCCAGAGATGGAGCTGAAACTGTCCAGTATTCAAGGATGCCAGGAGAAGGGCAGTTCACAGCCAGGGTCCATCCATACTACAGAGGGTCTAGAAGGTCTCCAGCCACCCATCCCTGGCAGCCAGATGTTACTGGGCCCAAGCTAGGATGGGAGCTGAGGGGGAAGGAAGTAGGGGAATGGAAGTGGAAGAGAGGCCTCATGCATATGCATGAGTGTTCCCGTGGGCAGACATGTGCCTGTCCCAGACGGGGCAGGATGGAGAATGTCACATTGGTCCCACCCTCTAAGTTGACCTCCCCACCATGGTATGTAGCAGAGCATCAGGGTAGGCTATCTTCTCTGCCTTCAATCTTCAGGGACTGCCACAAAGAGGGAAGCATGGCAGGGTTCCTCTCTCCACTGCATTGCTTCACTGGGCACAACTGCTTCTGAAAAACGGCTCCCTGTCTTGGGCTCTACTGGGGATCTGGGGTTGGGAGAGGCTGTTGATCTGAGGGCAGTAATCACAGGCTGCAGGCTTGGGGGGCAGTTATGACTGCCTGAAAGCAGGTGAGGGATTGCCCCTCAGAAAAAGACCTAAAAAACCTAGTCTATGTGTGAATTCCCCACCTCCATCCCATCTATGGGAAGGGCCGTTCAGTGTTTATAGAGTGGGGAAACGGGTCCCTGCACTTGGCTTCTCCATAAGCCTTGCAGGGTCAGAGCTGATGCGAGGGGTCCTGGCAAAGCATTGGGCAGAGACAGACCCCAAGAGCGGGGCTTTTTTTCTATGCTGGGCATACATATGCACACAAGCATGCACAGAAGCATGTCCCATGCCCAGCCTTGCCACTGTCACTGGCCACTGCTGGTCGGAGGAGATGCAGGGGTGGTGTATGCAGACCTTCCTTTGGGCAAATGCCCCATTTCAGGAGGAATGGGCCTAGGAAGCCCCCATGGGGAAGGTTCTGGATTTATTCCCTCCTCTAAATGCTATAAATACATTAGCACTTGAGCCCGACTGGAGGCTGCCAGGAATTCAGGATACATACAGCTGTAATTGAACCCAGAGTAGCTCCATGTGAGAACATTAAAGATGTAATGAAGATGTTTCCATGGAGAGAGTGTGAGCCTGTGACACTTGGGGTGTGGAACCCCAGGAGGGTCAGGATGGGTGAGGGGCTGTGGGAGCCTGGGGATAGTTGCTTGGATCACAGCTAGGAGGTGGCAGCCCAGTTGGTTTCTCTTGAGCTGTCTGAGGAAATGCCCCGGCACTGAGTTTGAGGCTGCCCTAGGGCTTCGTGTCTCAACTGTGGATTGGAGTCACAAGGCCTGCCACCCCCTAGGGTGGAGAGGTCAAGTGGACAGGACCTTGTGGGACTGGGGGAGGAAGGGGCCCTGAGCCTGAAGGGCCTGGGGAAGGTATGAGGACCCACCGGAGCTGGGTCTGAAACACAAAAGGAAGCAAAATAGTGTGGCTTTTTCTGAAGCACAAGGGTGTAGGGGAAGGGTGAGGGGGTGGGAAGCCATTAGGGTCATCTGTGTGGAACCCACCTGCAGGGTTCAGAAGGGCTTGGGGGAGAATGACACTAGGGTGACCAGCCATCCTGGTTTTCCCAGGACTGTCCCAGTTTTAGCCCTGAAAGTTCCACAAACCAGGACTCTAAGTAACATCCAGACCCTCCCCAGAAAGCTGAGCCTTCAGGCCAGTATCATGGAAATAAGGGGTGGAAGAACCCCCAAGTTCCACAATGGGAGGGCTGAGCTAGAGGAAGGGGCTAGGGGACAGGGCCTTAGATGAGGGGAGGCCCACTCACCCACAGGCCAACCACACTGGGGTCATGGCTCACCCTGTCAGTGATGGCCTTGGTTTTGGGAAGGAGTCTTATTCCCCTGCAGATTGGTAGGATTCTGGAGGGGCATGGAGTGAGAGGAGGGGTGTGGTGGGCTGTGTCCTCCCACCCTTCTGGATGGCACTTCAGCCCAGAGATGTGGGAGCAGCAGAAGACCCAGCGTCTGGGGCATCCTGAAGAAACAGAGCCTGTGAGACTCCCAGGGACCAGGACCTGGACGGTGGCTCATCCACGCCTGCTGTCTGCCACATGCCCCTCTCTTGCAGGGCAGGCTTGGCAAGACAAGGCGCACAGGGTAGCTGTCTCTGTGGGTGCCACGGCCCGTGTCCACACCTCTTGTGCCCTCACAGGCACTGTCTCCCCCTTCCACCCACCTTCTGCTCTCTAGGTCTTATTCCCAGTCCTGCAGGAAAACCAAGTTCCCAGTAAGTCCCAGGTCTTCCAGAATGTGGGATCAATAAATATTGGGGTGAAAGTTTCTGGTTGGCGTGTCCTCCTTGAGGTCTTGAGCCTGGTTCACTTACCACCCTCAGCCAGGCAGCGGAATGAGATGGAGTCCCCTGCCTGCCTCACTGCTCCTGAGATTGCTGTTAAACAGGGCCGTTTGAGAAATGCCCCCTGCCCCACAACACACACACACACACACACACACACACACACACTCTCACGTACTCACACACACACACTCTCTCTTCCATAAGTAAAACCCTTCCTCTGGAATAGCACCCAGGGCTTGGGCTCAGAAGCTGCTGCAGTTTGTGGTAGGTGGTATCTGGGTGGACGCGGCTCGGCGCCTTCAGAGGCCATCTTGTTGTTTAATAAAGTGAAGTGTCACCTTCGAGCCAAAGTGAATGAAATAATCCCATTGCCTGGCTGCAGACAGACTCTGGGGATGCCTACGATTGTAAAGGAAAGTTCCTGGGCAGGAGGGCCCAGAAACTTCAGTAGGGCAGCCTGACCTTGCTGTGGATTCCTTCCAGAAACATTGCTAAGCATCTGTCGTGAGCCTGGCACCACCATCCTGTCGGTGAACCAACCTAGACTCTGCATTTCCATTCTAGATGGAGGAGACAGATGTCAAATAGAAAAAAAGGTGTGTGTGTGTGTATGTGTGTGTTTGTGGGGGGGTGGATGTGGGTGTATGTGTATACACACATACATAGGTCTATGTATCTTTACAGCTGTAGGAAAAAGAAGGCGGGGTGCAGACAGGGTGTGCCTGGGAATTTTATAAGCTGGGGGCAGACACCCCCACCCCATCCTGCCCAGCTGCACCCCTCAGCAGGCCTCAGTGTGGAGAGCCATGGCCAATGATATGTGGGGAAACCCCCAGGAGACACTGTTTTGACATTCCCATCCACCTTGTCCTCTGAGGGCTCAGGATGGGGCCAACAGCAGATGAGAACATCTGGTCACCCAGAGGACACTCTGAAAGGCCAGCATTGCTGAGAAATGAACAAGAAGTGTGTGGACATCAGCTGCAGGGAAGGGAGGAAGGGAGGGGAGAGCATGGAGACCCCTTAGGCGGGGTGAGATCAGGATGCCATCCCACCTGGGCCTGGGTCTGCCCATGGCACCTTCTCTCACCTACCCCCAGCCCTCCAAGCTCCTTGGCAGCAGTCCCTGCCCCTCCTCACCCTGGGTTCTTTGTACCTGCAAGTGGAAGTTCATGGCAGGTGTCAGTGCTCCCCAGGGACAACGCCCTGTCCCTCTCCCCCAACCCAAGGGAGCTAGGGGAAGGCAGCAGGCATACAGGGAGGAACAAGAAGTAGGTGTCACCTCCCCGATCCCAGAGAAAAATCTAGGGCTAGAACCTTCAGCCCAGGAGAGGGTCTGTCGGGCCGAGCAGAGAGGGAGGCAGAGCTGAGACCTATCTGGGAAGGGGGTTTGCTTTTCCCAGCCCTTGGCCTGGGGAAAGCAGCCTGTGTCAAAGAGACCTTCTGCTGGGTGGAGGAGGAGGACCTGCTTCTCAGGTCTTCCCTCAGCTTTGAAGGAGTCCCCTGTCTCCAGGTTCTGCTAGGGAGGTGACCCTCTGGGAGCTTGGGGCCAGGGTTTCTGTCTGGAGATGTTACCCTGAACACAAATCTGCAGACAGGGGAGGGAGGTTGAGACAGCCTTTACTCTGAAGCCAGGGGGCCCCCCTCCCTAGCCTCACCCAGGGGATACCAAGGCCTTCCTTGTCAAGCCAGGTGAGCGCTGATCAGTTGGTCACAGCCTAAGCCAAATTTTCACATTTGGGGCAAAATCTTGGGTAGTCCATCACGCCATTTAACTTGAAAGCAAAGTGAAAAGTCACACTGGTGCCTCCCCCATGCCGAGTCCACAGGAGTAACCAAGCACTTTCTGTATGTTCAATCGTGTGCATGGAGGTGAGTGGGGACTTGCTAAGAGCCAAGTCTGCTGGGTCAAAGAAAGGCTGCTGACTGAGTTGTTCCCAATCTCCAAGAGTTCCAGTCCAGGAGGCCTCCTGGAGGAGGCAGAGGAGCAAGCACCAGTTGCCTTCACTTTCTGCCTGACTCTCCAGGACCTGGGTTGCAGGTCAGGATGTGGCAGCCTCTGCTGCCCATTCTGTGGGTGTGGCCATGGCTGTGACAGATGTGCTGTAGGCTGTCTAGCAGTGGAACAACAGAATCCAGTGAGAAACATTCTCTACCTGTGGTGTTTCCCAAGAAACCCAGTGGAGTGCTGTTCTCTCTCCCAGCAGACACAGCGGCATCCAGGAGGTGCCACACTTCTGGCTGATCCTCCTGTGGCAGCCAACACCAGGTGCCTTTCTCTGGGTTCAGCTGGTGGCCCAGTAGAGCTGCCCCTCATTCCCAGCCTGGGGGACCCAATAACATAAAAGCCAGTCCCACCAAGGGGTGTTAAGAGGGCAAGTCACCAGTTAGAAGCCACCAGGCCTGAGCTGATGGGCAGTCCCAGTGGACCAGACCTGTAGGAGCTGCCCAGGCCCATTTACTGATGCAGAACTGGGTGGTCTGGAAGCTGAATGAAGTGTCTGTGATTGCCCCGCTGTGTGGGGCTTTGGAGCCCCGTGCTGTGTGCTCCTCCCACAACACCAAAGGAGATGGTGAGGCTGGCAGCCACTTGGCCCCTTACCACAGTTTCTGGTACCAACCTCGGGCCTATCCTGCCTGAGGACTTTGGGGGCTGCAAAAGAAGACGGCCTTTTGGTTCCAGCCTGGGTGAGCAGGCAGAGTGATGGGGAGGAGAACTGGGGTGGAGGCTTGAGAAAGAGCAGGCCCTGGGCCATAGAGGGAGTAAGAAATCGGGGTAAGTGGTTGTTCCTCAGGAGTCCCAAGGTTCAGACCCCAGTCCTGGATTTGGCATGAACTGACCAAACCAGGAGGGAGAATCTGTTCCCGCCCCTGGCCCGCAGTTGACTCATTTGTAAAGGGGTCAAAGCAATCCTGCCCTTCTTTCTGCCCAGGCTCCGGAGGCGGGAGGCAGGAACTGCTGGGATAGGGTTTGGAAAGGGAAGGCCCAGGTGCAGCAGGGAAGGGGCCAGGGGCTGTCATCTGTGCCCACCTTCAGCCTGGCCAAACGCAAACAAGACTCAGTCACCAGGTGCTTCCTCTTCCCTGGGGACCTTGGAGAGACAGGCTGGGTCAAAGACGGCGGTTCAGAGCTTCTCCAGCAACAACAAACGTAACTGCTTCCCAGGCCCGGAAGTCTCCCAGGTCTAGTAGGGGACAAGGGTCGTCTCTCAGGAGGGGTCCTCGGAAGGGGATTTGGATGAGGTCTCCTTGGGGGCTTCACATCTTTGATTTTGGAGGGGGCAAGGTGGTGGGTATGAGAAGGAGGCCCACCTGATGGGCTCCCAGGCACCACCTCTGCCCGTCTGTCCCAGTGACAGAAGAAGACACAGTTCAGCCAGGGAGTGAAGCTTGGGTAAAGCCTGGAGTCCAGCTGAAAGGGCTGGTAGGGCAGGGGACTGGTGTGCCCTCCTGCCAAGGGCATGCTCTTGCTGGAGGCCAAGGCATGCGGGTGTCAGTCCCCTGTGCCAGAGCCATCGGCAGGGATGGCACAGAGAACACACAAAGCCCCCGGCCTCAGGCTGCCTTCATGAGGACTTTCCCTGTGGCGTCCCTCACCTGGTGGCTCTCGCTGACCCCTCGGGGCTCCTCAGCCTTGGCCCCTTCATCTTCAGCTTCTCTCTGAATTTTGTCCTGGCCAATGTTCTCTCTTTACTCTAAAAGAAGGCAAGTGCCTGGGCTGGTCCAAGCCCTGTCTGAGTCCCTAGTCCCCACTTGGACTTGAGCCCATG